TTATTTTTCGGGGCGGGGGGTGGTGGTGCAGGAGAGTTGTTTAGAGGAGGAGGAGGAGGAAGGGAAGGAACGGATGGCACCAGAGACAAACGAAGAGGAATAAAGGAGGGGGGGGATTTTTTTAAAGCAAAATAGAAAGAAAAAGCTGCCGCCACCGCCTCCCGGCTGCTGAGAGTGACAGGTTCCCCGGGCGCCGGCGCCGCACCCGAACCCTGCTGTCGGGGCTGCTGTCACCGGAGGAGGACGTGGAGGTGGAGGAGCTGCTCCGCGGGCAACGGTCCTTTGTGTGCAGGGGCGCCGCGGCGGCGGCTGGGGCTGCGAGCGAGCGGCTGGGCTGGAGGGCGAGCGCGAGAGCCCTGGAGGCGGAGTTGCGTGCCTGGAAATTGCTGGGTGGCCGCGGCGGCGGCGGCGGCGGCAGCGCCCTGCGCCTCTCCAGCCTGTTTACCTGTGGTGCGGGCTCGCCCCGCGCCGCCTCTGCCCATCCTGATTCCGGAGCCGGCCGCGCGAGTTTGTCCTCCTGGGTCTTCCCTAGCCCGCGCGCCGCCTCCCTCCCTCGCCGTCGCCCCGATTGCTGCAATGGGAGGACCGGCAGCGAACCGGCTGCAGTCCGAGTGGGCTGCGGAGATTTACTGGGAAGGGAGAAGTGACGCTTCAGTCCCCGGGAACCTGGGAGTGGGCGCAGGATGGCCAAACGCAGGTGGGTAGCAGGCTGAGAAAGCAGAAGGAGGCCCAGGAGATGCGGTTTCTCGTTTCAGAAAAGTTTTGGGTGAGCTGGCTACTTTGAGAGTCAGAGAAGGAGCAACATGTTCACAAGAGAGGAATGGTAATTAAGACCACAACTTTATAATGCACGCCCTTGTCCTTCAAACGCGCGCACACGCATGTGCACTTCCAGTGTGACGCCTCTTTCTCTGCGCTCTTGTATAATACTTCAGCCTTGATCAGCCAACCCTGCCTTTTCTTCCACTGAAAATCCCGGCTCACCGTGACCTGTGACCCAAGTACCCGCTGATAAGGGCAACGTTTGAATAACATAGTTGCTCAATAAGGCCATTTTGTTTAAAGTGTTTGGCACGTAAGTAATCGGACAGTTTTCATAAAATAAAATGAAGAAAGCGTCTGTAACAGCTGAATGAAAGGATCCCAGATGGAAAGTATTGTCTGCTAAATAGGTTTTGTTTTAGTTCCACGCCCTGCCCACCTTCCCCCCTCCCCTCCCCATCCCCATGCCCTGCTCCAACTAAAGCAAGAAACCATCATCTTCAAGGGATGCTCTTTTTAAGCAAGTGCCACTCAAGAGAAAGAATACTTTTAAAATGTATATAGTCCCTCTTATACTCTTTTGATGGTGAAATATATATGTACATATATATATATATACAATGACAAAATTAAATGGACCAAAAGTTGTTACTTTTGCAATAAGTCCACAACATGGAAATTGAAGACTTCCTTAAAATGTTTTATTCTTGGAGTCTACAAGTTACTTCTAATATTAGGAAAAAGAAAGTTGTATGCCACATAAGTTTGAATTTGCAACACCACACACACACACACACACAAAAAAAAAACACAAAACTTCTTCACATACTGTAATGTAGTTAGTAGTATAACTATCTCTTATCCTCTCAGAACCCAGCTTGGAAGAGTGGAACTTGAACCTCCCAATGAGCGTTTAGACATAGGTAGACTTCCATTCCCTGTATCCTGGTGTAGCGTTTCCCAAGAACATCCCCAAACGTATGTTTCCCAAACATACGAACATTCCCAAACGTATCCTGATGGAGCGTTTCCCAAGAACATCAGTCACGTACAGCAGCGTGGCACTGCAGGTTTGGCCTCCAGTAGAGGTTCTTTTAGAAACCTGATGCTCTTGGCTGTTTATCCAATGAACGTGACTCCCTTTGCTTTGCGCTGACTCCACACACTTCTTTCTCTTGAACTTATGGAGGTTACAACTCTAACCCAGGACAATCCCCGCCACGCCCCCCACCCCCCCGCCTTTCTCCCCACCTTCTCAAACCCTGTATTTTTTCATCTCTTGCACTATGGCAAGCGACTCCAAAATTGATTGACTTAAAGCAGCAACCCAGGTTTCTGAAGGTTGGGAATTTGGGTGGGGCTCATTCAGCTATGGCTTTCTCCTGGGCCTGATTACTCTCAGCTGTAGCTCAAAACGCTCATCTCCTTTGCATGGTCTCTTATCCTCCTGTAGACTTTGCCTGGGCTTATTCATGGCAGATGAACATGTTCCACGGGAGTAGCCAGAACCACCCAAGCCTCAAAAGTCTACAACATCTCTACCAGTGGTACCAGACCAGCTCAGACTCCAGGGGTTGAGGAATACGCTGTTTCCCAGGGTGAGGAACTGAAGAGAGACGGGACTAGGGCAGGAATCAGAGAGGTGAATAATTATAGCTATGCCTGCCTAAAGTTAACCATCTTGTAGTCCACCTGCCTCCAGAAGGCTCTTGTAAGTACTAATGCTGAGACTGAGTAGTCCTTACATCGCCCTCCTCCATTTGAAGTTTATAACCTGTCTATCAGGTAAGCTCTTAACTGCTAACCAACTGGCCTGCGCCCAGCCAACTGGCTTATGCCCTCTGGTAAAAATTACAGACACAGACACTGTACATGAGGCCTCGTTGGATTTGACCTGATGGCAGTAGTTTGGGTTTGGGATTCATGTTTGATGTTATTTCTTTTATTGAGTACCAAATATTTCAAGAGTTCAGTCCTATCTCTCTGACTAGATTGTATACTCATAAGGCAGGGATCATGTTTTCAGTTCTCTCTGGTTTAATGCAGTTTGGGACACATATTAGGTTCTCAAAAAATGTTAGCTATTTAGTTATGGACTTATGTGGTTATATGTTCACCCTAAATGGCTCCAACACTCACACAGCAATGGATTTCCATGTAATAAAAATAATAATAAAAGTTTAAAGCACTGACTTACAGAGCCATTATATGCACAGTATCCCTTCTTAATACGTTATGAAGCATATCATCTATTGTCAAACAAGCTTCTCTGAAAAATATTTTTAAAGCCTTTTTCCTACTGCATTTTCTCCCACCCCTCTTCCAACTGAGTGAAGAGGTAATTCTTGTGCATATAGATCTTTTCTGTCCTAAATTTGGCCTTCTTCAAACAGTTCTGTACTAAACCTTATTTAACTTTAATTTCTTTATATAAGATCCCTCATTGACTTGTGCAACCCTGGATTGAAGGAATGTTACCTTCCCCCTACCCTCCCCCTTTCTGAATGAGAAGTGTGTGGCATTTCTGATGTGATCAACCTTTGCTGGAGTTCTGGTTAATTGCTGTTCAGAAAAGGGACAGATTCAATTGCTCCACTACAGTATTTCAAAAGACAAAGAGAAAACGGATTAATTTTTAAACATCCTAAAACCAGCAGTTTTCAAACTTTAGCTTTCACCAGGAAGCATGGAGTGCTGACTCCACCCCCCAAATTCTGATTCAGTAGTTCAGGGGAGATGACATATATTTTGCATTCCTTAGAAGTTCCCAGGTGACACTGAGGAAAGAAAAGTGCAATTTGAGAACCACTGCCATAAACTTTAGATTGATAAACTTTATTTCCACAGCTTCCTCGTGCTGTGAAACAGACTATGGTGATTAGGTTTTGTGTCAACTTGGTACACCTGTAGGAAGCTGTGGGTAGGACACAGCGTCCCACAATCTCTCAATAGGACACAGCCTAATGATGTCTCCTTGTAGATGTGGCCTAGTTATCAGAGACACTGTAGAGAACCAATCCTTTTGCTTGATTAGATCCTGCTCCTGGCTTCTGGCGCCTGAGGATCATGTGGCCTGCTGACCCTGGGAGCTGTTAGCACCCTGCACATTCCTGCCAACTTTGGATCCACGTGACCCTGCACCCACCAGCCTGTGCTATCCTGGCTTCCCACGTCACCTTTCTGCTTCATCTGCTGGCAACAGTGTGGGTCTGGAGGAGCCTTCAGTTAGCATCTGACCCATGGACTTGATTTGGACTGGGCTGGGCCACTTCCTTGATGTAAATTTCTTTCTTGATATAAAGTCTTTTCGTGTGTGTGTGTGTGTGTGTGTGTGTGTGTGTGTGTGTGTGTGTGTG